TGTTTTAAAATTAAATCCTGCTGTTGATGACACACCGAACTGTCTTTAACCCATCATACCAGTGTTTTAAAATTAAATCCTGCTGTTGATGACACACTGAACTGTCTTTAACCCATCATACCAGTGTTTTAAAATTAAATCCTGCTGTTGATGACACACTGAACTGTCTTTAACCCATCATATCAGTGTTTTTGGGTTCTGTAAGCTGGTATGAACGTTAGATCTTAATCCGGTTTATTCCACATTGTAATTATATATTTATTGTAAAAAAAAAATAACTGCCACGAAGCTTGTTGCCTAAGTTATGCTGTGGGTTAGACAATAACATTTACAATTAGTAAATAGTAACATAGAACACTGTGGCTAAATGAACCCACCTTGAAGGGAGAAGGATTTGATAAGGTGATTTCTCCTTTATACCACCGATCTGCAGCTGGAGTACCACTCGTAAGTTCCCAGATGGCGCTTCCTATGGTACCTGTAGAATCATCGTATAAGAAAATACGCAAGGCGCCGATACCAACTCCATAGAGGGATGTCCAGAACTGTAAGCACAAACCCGCCGAATCACCTTCAGAGAAGAAAAGAATCAAAAACAAAAAATTTAATAGTACAAGCAGAAAAAAATTCAAAGCTGTTGTCGAGATATCCTGCTATAACCTGTTCTATCTAACTAATGACAAATTGCGTTTGTTTGTTTGTTTTCAATTTTGTAAAAACAACTGACAGAAGACACTTATTGTAATAGGCCCGTATTGAATTTATTACCTACGTATTGATGATATGACTGTTTGTTGTTGGGCTTAAAGATGGTGATTTAAGAGAGTTTGTCAAACAACAACAAGATCTAGAGAGGTATGAGCATAGACAGAGAAGAAAGGAAGAAAGACTGAAAGAAGAAAGATGAGATAGAAAAGAGACTGAAAATAGAAACAATAAGAGAACAAATTGAGAAAGGAGAGAGAGGAGAGACTGGAAACAAAGAGAATAAGAGCACAAATTGAGATTGCAATGCTCACCCAACAGAAAGAAGATGGACTCAAGAATGACAATGGAGTCAGGGCCAGCTGATCCAAACTTGATGAACAGAAAGATGACATGGATACTCTCCTGGAGAGATATGAAAGATTCACCCAAAGTCAGAACTGGGACAAAGGCGACTGGGCAGTCTGTCTCAGCCCACTTTTCACAGGAAAAGGTCAACAAGCCTATGCAGGCGTGACGTCAGAAGATACCATGGACTTTTTTGACAAGTTAAAAGTGGCCTTGCTAAAACGCTATGAACTTACTAAGGAAGGTTTTCGTTGAAAGTTCATAGTAGTCAAACGTGACACTGGAGAAAATGTATTTCAGTTTGTGGCATGTCTACGGTCATACAAGATGGACTGACATGGTCGAGTGTGACAGTAGGTTTTAGGGACTGGCAGATTTATTAATACATGAACAGTTCATGATAACGTGCCTTCCTGACATATCACTGTTCATCAAAGAGAGAGCACCAAAAGATGTGGACAAGATGGTCAAGCTGGCAGGACAGTATATGGAAGCCCGCGGAGGTAGTATAATTGGCAAGTCCAAGAATATCCAGTTAAATTTGAAACCAGGGGTGGCTGACCAGATGCAGGAGTTTACCAAAGGTGACAGAAGGTTAATAGACAGAAGGGAGAAGAGATGCAATATTTGTTATAAAGCAGGGCACATTGCAAATGAGTGCAACTCCATAACCAACAAACAATAACAGAAATCTCATCATAAAGCAGCTAGATGGCCAGATGGTGCTGGCAAGAAACAAAGAAAGAGTGACTATCACCATGGGTGCTGCTGCCAGAAGAAACTTAATCAATAAAACATGTCAGATTTACTACAAGAAGGAAGAGCCATTTCCATGATTGATCAGAATAATGTTCAGATGAAATTAGCAAAGTGGGGGGGGGGGAGGTCAACAGTCCAGCAGTGATTGGAGTATGTGACAAACATCAAGACACTGAGTGCAGTATATATGGTGTAGCAATAAGAACCAATCTAGTATCTGATGGCCAGATGACAGGCGAGGTATGTTTTTGTGTGCTAATTGACGGGACAGTGAGAAAGTTTCCCATAGCAAATATACAGGTGGATACTCTATACTATACAGAAGACCTTGAGGTCATATGTAAGAATGCACCAATATACGAGTTGGCGATTGAAAATATACCAGGTAGTAGAAATTTGGAGAAACCAGACAGAAATAAGACTGATGAGGCATCTGTAGTCACCAGAAAAGCTTAAGGAAAAAAGAGCAAGCAAGACATCAAGCTCTTGAAAGTATCAAAAAGTGACATCCCGCATGTAGGTCAACAGGAACTGAAGAAAAACTCGTCACTACAGAAACTTTGGGACAGTGTCCGAAAGAAAGTCGAACACAAGAGAAAGAGGCTTACAAAACATAGGACCAGAAAGGAGTATTTAACTGGACTTATCAAGGTAGTTCTACTGGTGAAGTTAAACACATCAAAGGCAGTAAGAAGTACTTATATGACAAGAAGGTCAAGGATTGAAATTTCAAGGTCAGAAAGAGGGTCATATGTCTGCTACCCACAGCCAACAACAAACTCACTCAGTAGTGTAAAGGACCTTTCGCAGTACAGGAAGTGGTCAACAAAATGCACTATAAGGTGAAAGGGATGGGATGACCAAGGGCTACCACCCCAATCTGTTGAAGATGTACTTTAATAGTGAAGAAGACCTAATGGGTGCAGTTATTGAGGCACAGATGAACATTGCAGGTGTGGCCATCATAGAAGCAGAATCTGAAGACACTGCCTTCGTTATAGAAGACAAAGACCTACTAGGCCTAATACTACTCGGTAGAGATGAGACATACAAGGACGTCAACATAAGTGAAGAAATAACTGGCAAGAAGGAGAAAGAGGTACAAAATAGACTGTGCCAGTATACAGATAGATTAGGAAAGACAGCCCTCAGGCAACACAAGATCAAGACGAAGTCAAGGGATCCTGTGAAGATGAAGCCCTACTGGAGGCTCTACGCGAGGAGAGACTGGCCAAGGAATTGTATTGTTGGTTCAGACTATATGAAGAGACATAGTGTATGAACTGAGAACAGTCTTTGTATATAGTGTAAAAATATTATAAATATTTTTCTTGAAGATAGGCTTATTGTTGAATATACATATAGTTTATTTAGTGATTTAATATTTAATTATTATTTAGTTTTCATAATAAGAGTTTTAAAAGTAATTATTTATGTAATTAGTAATTAGTTATGATAAATTTTGTTATGTAACTCGGTGAGAGTCGTACGTAGTGTTTGTAGTTCAATTGTTGTAGTATTATTGACGTCATATTTCTCGAAACCTCTAAGTCTTCTCGCTTTGTGAGTATTGTTACATCATACCATCTCATAGTTTGTAGAAAGTTCGAGGCTTCAGTTGGCCAATGTATATATATTGGCGACCAAGTGAGCCCAAGTCAAGATATAAAAAAGTTAGTAAGTGGAAGAAAACGTGAAGTTAGTTGGTGTGTGAGTGGTTAACCTTAATGGGTGATATCTATAGTGTGTTTCACAGCTCTATTGTAACAACAGAGATAAGAAAAATAATTTGTCTTGTCAAAGGGTGTTCTAAAATAATAGAATCCGTCTGTATGGACTTTGATGAAAAGAAAGCAATTACTTAAAGTTCTGGATACAACTGTGGTAACCCATAAGGTAATGTAAGTGAATTTAAAACAGATCGTATAGTAAGAAACAGAGAGTAGAGAAAAATAATTTGTCTTGTCAATTGGATTCCAAAGTAATTGAATCAGCCTGTGTTGACTTTTGATCAGAAAAGAGAATTATTTCGAGTTTTAGATACAACTGTGATATCCTATAGTGGAAAGACTTTTTGTACATATGTTTGACTTGTTTTTAATATATTATTTTAAAACAAGTGGATTGTGTGCTGTCTGTTTATTGTTTGAATTTATTGCCAACAAGTCACAGACACCTACTGGAAATAAATCCCAGCCCCTATTCACAAATAAAACACCGACACTCATGGAAATAGGATCTAAAGAGAAGACAGCCTTTGTGACACCAGTCAGATGCTACTAGTTCAAGAGGATGCCACTTGAATTAGTCAACTCAGTATCGACATTCAAACATATGACGAGAAAGATGTTGCACAAAACCATCAACATGATGTGGTTGACATTCTGACTCACACAGCCAGATGAGGAGATCATCCGAAGAAATTGAGAGCTGTTCAGACGAGTCAGGGCAGCAGGTTTGACCATCAGACCATTTAGGTACTACATTATCTATTCTATGCTGGACTTTGTTGGACACAAATGGGCGTCTAACAGATAGCCAAGGAAGAGAAGAAGCTAACCCACATATAAGATGTATTAACTCTGACGACCAAGCAGAAAGTTAGATCCTTCCTGGAGTTAGCAGGATACTATAGGACGTTTATCCCAAACTATGCTGCACCACCGATTGATCTGACCAAGAACGGCTAACCCAACAAAGTGAAGTTGGAAAAACCACAACAAATGACATTCCAGAAATATTTAAGAACATAAAAGGAAGCTCGCCAATCCTTAGAATGCCAGACTTCAACAAATTGTTCATTTTTCAGGCCGATGCATCAGGCATTGGAATTGGAACAGTACCTCTTCTAGGACATAAAGACGGACTGTTTACAGTAATGTACGTCAATGGAAAGCTGTTGAGTAGTGAGAAGAACTACTCTGTGATTGAATGAGATGTCTGGCCAGCTGTTGAGTAGTGAGAAGAACTACTTTGTGATTGAATGAGAGTGTCTGGCCAGCTGTTAGGTAGTGAGAAGAACTACTCTGTGATTGAATGAGAGTGTCTGGCCACAGCTGTTGAGTAGTGAGAAGAACTACTCTGTGATTGAATGAGTGTCTGGTCAGCTGTTGAGTAGTGAGAAGAACTACTCTGTGATTGAATGAGTGTCTGGCCATCATATTTGCCATCTGGAAACTCGAGAACTAACTCTACGGGAAGGAGTTCATCGTCAAGATGGAGCATTAGCCTCTTGCATATATCCATAGGTGCAAAATCGACAGTGTGAGGATCATGAGGTGAGTTTTGTACCGCCAGTACAATAGGTTCCCCATTGACGCCGTCGAGGGGACTTATGTTAGTTCAAACTGTATGAATAGACTTTTTGCATGAAACAAAAACAGTCTTTGTATATATAGTATAAACATATTGTAAATATTTGTTGAAGAGGGGCTTACTGTTAGATATACAGGACTGTTTTAATATAAGTATGGTGTGAGTGTTATATTTAGTTATTTTTAGAAGCGATAGGTTATCGTAGGTTTGTTTACGCAACTGTGTGAATCATACATTGTGTAGTTCGAATATCATAAGTTGGCAATTGTTGTTTTATTGCATCATGTTACTAAAACCTTTAAAGCTTTTCTTGAGTATTATCGTATCATAATATATCGTAGTGTGTGGAAAGTTCTAGGCCTCAGTTGGCCATGCCGGGACCCGAGCATTATAGTTTAAGGTCAATTTGAATCTTAACTTTATGTTAAATTTCATTCGCTTTTTATTTTACTCTTATTGTTTTATTATTATCACTTTAGTTTTAAGTTAATTTCTGCATTTTTTATTTTCGTCTTTATTTTGAGGTTTGTTTTCTTCAATATATTTATTTTGTAATTTTTGTTTTATTATGTTTATATTTCATCATTTAACTGCTGAAGTTGTTTTGGGTTTGTGCCAAGTTACAATTTATCTGTAGCTTATATAGTTTTCTATTGTGTTAAGTTTTTGTATTCGTCTTTATTTCACTTAGTTTGTTGGCTGTTGAAGTGTCATGTTATCTTGTGTGTTATCTCTGGAGATTATTATGAAAGCTACAACACTAAAGATTAGCCTTTAAAGTTATTATTAACTTAGCTTGTTGTCTGTTGAAGTGTCATGTTATGTTGTGTGTTATCTCTGGAGATTATAATGAAACTACAACACTTAAGATTAGCCTTTAAAGTTCTTATTAACTTAGTTTGTTGGCTGTTGAAGTGTCATGTTATCTTGTGTGTTATATATGGAACAAGATAACATGACACTTCAACAGACAACAAACTAAGTTAATAATAACTTTAAAGGCTAATCTTAAGTGTTGTAGTTTTCATGATAATCGTGTTATATATGGAGATTATTATGAAAGCTACAACACTTAAAATTAGCCTTTAAAGTTATTATTAACTTAGTTTGTTGTCTGTTGAAGTGTCATGTTATCTTGGGTGTTATATATGGAGATTATCATGAAAGCTACAACACTTAAGATTAGCCTTTAAAGTTATTATTCACTTAGTTTGTTGTCTGTTGAAGTGTCATGTTATCTTGTGTGTTATCTATGGAGATTATTATGAAAGCTACAACACTTAAGATTAGCCTTTAAAGTTATTATTAACTTAGTTTGTTGTCTGTTGATGTGTCATGTTATATTGTGTGTTATATATGGAGAATATCATGAAAGCTACAACACTTAAGATTAGCCTTTAAAGTTATTATTAACTTAGTTTGTTGGCTGTTGAAGTGTCATGTTATCTTGTGTGTTATCTCTGGAGATTATCATGAAAACTACAACACTTAAGATTAACCTTTAAAGTAATTATTTAGATTGAGAAAGGGCTTGAGATAAGTATGGAGAAGGTTAAAACTGCCAGGTTTTACTGTGTGTAGATTCGTATATATTCCGGAATATTTTTTTCTACATTATTAACGTCCAGATGAATAGGATTTAAGTAGTATGCAACAATCTTGAATCTAAGACTAAGACTAAGGTTACATACCACATGTATGTACTTGTTCAACTATTCCTCTGTATCCCACTGAAACGAGAGCTAATTTTTCCCTTGAATATACAGGTCATTCAGTAGGTAATCTAGAGTTGTGAGCTACATACTAGCACGTGTTTTCTCCTACTGTTCCAGCACTTTACATTTCAAGCAGTCATTATAACAGGGTAAAACGTGTTTCCTTGTGTGTAACATAAAACAAGAATTATGTACTTGGTTTAAATATTTACTTAATGTGTTCGATTTATTCTCTGAAATAAAATTACACATTAAATTTAAACGGGTAAATATTAAGTACATAATACAAGAGGAAATGGCTTAAATTACACATTAACGTATTCTTCACTAAATGAGGACATCTAGTACCATTATCATGTTTAAAAACAAAATAGTCTACAACAAGTAGATCAGGTCGAACGAAATTGCTATGATTTCAGTCTCTTTCATCATCTTTCTCGTAAAAAACTATCATTGATTAATACGTACCTGGAACCTTTTAATATTTTGGTTTGTGAGCCTTTGTCAACTTGAGATTCTTCTTTATTATCTCGTTAAGAGAACTAGGATACAACTTCAGCTTCATTACAATGTTTGTTTGTTTAGATGATTGGTACTGGATAGGCTTAGGATATGGTTTTTGAAGCGTTTTACTGTCCCAAACATTCTGATATGCAAATATTCCTTCTTCTATAGAGAATATTGAAGAATCCCTTCTTTGAAATGTTGTATTCATTGGCTCTACATCGTTTGCTAATCTTGTTGAGTGAAAGAGTAGTTGTTAATAATCTTTCAGTCATAATTATACCCTGACATCAGAGATAAAAATTCCACTGGTTGTGACGGATTTGTTATTATATACTTACTTTAATATCGATATTTGTTTAGAATAAATTTATATTTAGAAACATACATAGCTTATAGTGTTAAATATGTATAGCGAAACTCCCGCCTATTCTCCAAAGTTGTAGAAGATTCTCGAGTGTAAGAATCAACAATATGTGTGTGCGTAAATGCTAGTGTTAGCGCCTGTATTGTTACGTAAAGTTGAAAATTCGAGAAAGCCTCCACACGCCTATAAATATAACTAACTCGACGCGCCAAAAAAGTAGAATTTATTAATAGTTTGTTATAGTCAGTGTGCTATGAACTTCGGAAGCTATAACTGTGATTATTATAACGCTTATCAATCGGAAAACTTCAGATATTTGACCAAGAGCATTTACAAAGTTCGAACATTACAAATCATTTAACTTCAGTGGATTTTCATTGGACATTAATACTTTTACGAAAACATTACCTAACGTCATCGTGGAAAACTCGGCATGTGTGGCTGGTGATTAACGAAGGACAAAGCTAGTTAGATTCCTGTTAAGCGAATTGTACCTACTACATCAACTCGTAATTAACTCGCTCATCGTGAACTTTCTATAAGTTTTTATTTTATTATTTTTGTAAGCCATTATGAGTTCCATTATTTATTGCATTTCTTAGCGGTTTAATTTTAATTGTGCATGAAGTGGTAACCTTACCTTGTAGAAAACCTAATACTCGAGAGACTGTGAATTTCATACTGTCCGATAGCACTGCATTCTCAAATGGCTGTAAATTCCTTATGAAACCAAATGTGTAGATGCTGAACGTATATAGGGTTAAAATTGAGTTGAATGATGACTAAGTTTTTAATAAACAAAAGTTATATATACTTGGGACTGTCAATGTTGTACTCCACAGTTGGGCTCGGTCTCCAGGTTTTCTTGGGAAAGACGAATCTATGTAAGCATAACTACCTGAAAATGGGGAAAAAAAATGCTGGTTTTAGTGAAATATCAGTAAACAATGTTCGTATTACCATCGTTCACAAAATCGGATTAGACCATTGATTTAATAAAGAGGTGTATTAAGAGAGCAATACATTGTAAGTTTTGATTTCCAACTTAATTCTGGATACTCTGATTTCTTATTTGCTACCTAATTTCTTTGAATTATTTCTAGTTTGTATAGTTTGTTTGAATATTTGCGCAAAACCAGATAAAGACGTATGCATTAGCCGTGCCATATTTTAATCTGTTAGACTAAAGGGAAGGCAGCTATTCAACAGTAATTGTTGTTTGTTGCATTTTCATGCAAAGTTACTTGAGGGGTATATTGAAGTGATAGACTAGAGGGAAAGACATCTGGTGAACAACAACACCCAACACCAGTTATTTATCTAAAACAATCGAATAGTGCAGTCTTATAATGCAGTCTCTCTCCTAAAGTGCAAAGCGCAGTTTTTGTAGTAACGGGACGGGAACCATGGACCCTCTGACGATTGCATGAAATATAATAAATAACCAGTAACATTCAAACATCATTCGAAAACTGAAAGTGAAAAGAATTTAAAATTAAACAGTAAAAACCTAGCACTTCTTCGTAATTAATACCCATGATGAATTAATTTCATTAACAGTGCAAACACACTATTTTTATGCCATGAAAAAATAAACCATGTCATCATTCAACGCAGTAGGATGACTAAGATGATAAGACTTACGAACCCAGAAGTTTCAGTTATTTGTGTTATTACTCAGATGACAAAATATCAATACAATGACTGCCTTGTACTTTCTGAAATAATGTGAATTGACTTTTTATGATTAAAGATAATACTTACATATAATTTTTAAGTATTCTCTTCCCTTAAACGGTTAGTTAGAGAAAAAACAAATAAACGAGTAATCACAAAAGGAATATATTCCACTAAAGGTTCTCTCATTTTGAAATTATTGTTACGCATCTGCTCCTTTGTTAATTTCAGATATAAATTATTTCCGAGGAACTTCGGCGATACAAGTCCTTTCTTAATTAAAACTAGTTTATTCTTTCTCGATACAACTTTTTAGTACACAGAATTTCCACAGTCACTTTAAACTTAACCTTTATAACACACGCTATAAATCACAGCGGTTCACACACTTTACTTACGGTGCCTACTGTTCGCTTGACTCAATTATTTATCTCTATATCTATCTAACTTTTTTTTTTGTTTGCAAGTTATGGGGGCGCCATCAGCAGATGATATACCCTCAAATTCCCTGAGCTGATTTAGTTGAAATATATACTGCCATTTAACAAGTTAGTAGTTACATATACTTTTTTTTTATCTATCTAACTATGCAATTGCCAGGCTTATATACTAAAAAAGATGGCGCCTCGAAGAAACTCAGGCCTCTCGATAATTCATAATCCTTCCAGAAACTCCAGCGCGCATGCTACTAGCATCACGCGACTTCTGCTGTCGTAAAATTATGTTGTTTTTCTGTCATGAAATATGAAAAACGTATAGAAGGTTCAGGGGAGTTACTGGCTACGTGTGAGGGAAAGTCAAAGAAACGTTTAAGCTATATTTCGACTACTTTTATTTCTGCTGTCTAATCGTTTTCTTTAACTTTCCATTCAGTTACCCCTTAATATATTCACATTAACGTCGATTCATTTGATTAAATAAACGGACAGTTACATCTATCACTATGCAGTGCTGCATTGAAGAACGCGTAACAAGTTTATCACATTTAGTCTAAGTGAGCGGGAAACATTTATTTTCAAGCATTATGAAAAACCGAAATTCTTCATAGTAGCAGTCTATCCTCATTTCTTATACTTCAGATCTAGGCTTAATGTAAAGTCTATGCAATTCTTTAAAAAATTGTAAACAGAAGTTGACATAACATTCTAGTTTGGGCCTATACCATCATTATAGTCACAGAACTCCATCTACTAATACTCTTGTAATGTTATATAGGCTATATTCTGCGAGGCTTAAGCAAGTTCAACTTCAAGAAAGTATTGTTACGACAGCGGAAGTCACGTGACTCTGGTAACACGTAATGAGTATCTAGAAGGTTCGTGAATGCTCGAGTGTTTGCTAGATGTGCTGTATTCTAATACATATAAGCCCGACAATCAATCGGAACTGGAATTGCAGACAGGCAGAGATAGAGACGGACAATTGAATCAAGCACGGTAGTAAGTAAAGAGCGTGAATCATTCGTTGTGAATTATAGCGTGTGTTTAAGTGAAAGTGACTGTGGAAATTAAGTGTATTGCAAAGTTGAATTGAGAAAGAATAAACTAGTTTTATTTAAGAAAAGACTTGTATCACTGAAGTTTCTCGGAAAGAATTTCTACGAATAATTTTTATGCAAGTTATCAGCATTATGGACACTATTAAGATATCACTTAACATTTGAAACGAATTTAGGCTTAATGTTAAGCCTGTAGAACATATAATACAAACGTGGTTCGTCTTATCAAAATGTCTATTTCAAAGAAAAATCTCATTATTGATGCTTTTTTATTTAATTATACTGCTACGTTTGTGTTTGTTTGTTTATTTTGAAAACGTGCTTGCAGACTTCATTTATGCATCCTTAAGAAACAGAAATAAAATTAGATTTTTTCTTTAATATTATTTTATTTAACATTCTTTTAATCGTTATTTATTATTTAAATCAAATTTTTAAATGAAACTTGGCATTTAGGTTAATATTTATAAAAACAACTGTAAAAGAAAAATTAATCCTCGTTTTTACACGAAGATTCTAAAATACGAAACGTACACAATGAATATGTCGAAAAAAAAGACGAGCTACCTCTTTGTGATCCGTCCAATGATACGAAAATTATATAATAAAGCCTTAAAATAAAGTTGGACGAAATGAAAAACTTAAAGGAAAGGATCCAATGCTTCTAAATAAGAAAAAAAAGCTTTTCGAGTAAATTAATTAACTTTTTATTTCTAAATTCATTTTTAATTTTTTATGGCTTAATCAGTGGTTCCATACTTTAAACATCATTATTACAAACCTTACCACCTTACCTCAACTTTGATAAAGATGAAAAGGGGAATCAAATATGGTTAACAGTATTTAAAAGGTCTTATGGTCAACAGTATTTAAAAGGTCTTCATGAGATTTAGTATTTAAAAGGTCTTATGGTCAACAGTATTTAAAAGGTCTTATGGTCAACAGTATTTAAAAGGTCTTCATGAGATTTAGTATTTAAAAGGTCTTATGGTCAACAGTATTTAAAAGATCTTATGGTCAACAGTATTTAAAAGGTCTTATGGTCAACAGTATTTAAAAGGTCTTATGGTCAACAGTATTTAAAAGGTCTTCATGAGATTTCAGGGAACAAAAGTGCCTTCACGTTAACATAGGAACTGTTACTTTTGTGTGCCAGCATTGTCTTGCATTCTACTTTAAGACCAGTAGTCGCTATAAGCGATGCTGGTACCATGGAAATGTATCCTTATAACCAATAAGAGTGCCAACTCTACTACGACAATACAATAAAAGGATAATTACATCAAGTTAGGAACCTTACCAACTCTAGTGTGTTTACTTCAATGTATACTCATCATGAATGTCCTAAAGTCTATTTTGCTTCAGAATCCATTACTTTGGTGCAGTTAACAAAGAAGAAAATGAAAACAAATATGGCAGTTGGTATTTTTTGTGGACACAGAAGTATTTTTAAAAGACCAGAAAATGTTTGTTTGTTCAGGAACAAAGCCACGTTGGAATATCTGCTGTGTCCACCACGGGGAATCGAATCCCCGATTTTAGCATTGTAAGTCCTTAGACTTACCGCTGTCCCACTGGGGGGTACCAGAAAATGATAAAAATAGATAAAGATCTTCTTTAAAACTCTTACATGTGATTACAACCATACAACCAGTCCACATATCACTTAAGGTGGAAGATGAAGAAAAACATAAAGCAAAAAGAGAAAGGAGAGAACTGTGTCCGGTTGCAATGTTCTTCGAAAATATCCATCAATACTTGATACTTTAAATGTTGAACTCTACAATTGGGCTCGGACTCTGAAATACATTCTCTGAATGATTCTGCACTTTTCAGAGAAAATGATGAGCGCAGAACAGGAGAAAAACACGCCTACACACAGCAGAAATTATTATTGTTAAGATGTGGTGAAATATATCCATTCTCAGTACATATGGATAATAAAAAATTATCCGAAAATTTCTTAATAATTATGTAGAAAACGTAATTGCAAATATAAACGGATATCTTTCATACAAGAGACGAAATGATGGGACAAAATTAAGTTGAAGTCGAAGGAAAAAAATTAGAAATGGATAATCATTGGATCGTGCCATACATCCCATTTTTATGCTTAAAATACAATGCCCTTATTAATGTTGAAGTTTGTTGAAGTTTTAAAGCTATAAGGTATGTTTACAAGGTTTATGATTGGGCAAACGTTCAAATTAAATAATAAATTCTAACAGAACATTTTGAATGGAAATAAATAAATAAATTTTTGATTCGAGATTTGTTAGTACACCGGAAGGTGCTTTACGCCCATTTTGAATTTGAAATACGTGGCTAATTGTATACCATAATTATGTTAGCTAAATCAAAGAGATCCTTCTGCAAATAATGTCTCATATATGAAAATATCGAATCACTAAGTGTGGTAAAAATCCAGTAAGGCTTGGATGAAATGAAAACGAGGTTGCCTATATACAACACAAATTATATTATCTTTTATTATATGTGAATAGAGCTATTTTATACAGGGATTTGAATACCGTTAATGGAAGGATATGTTCTACTTTTAGAAAAGCAGCTAAAGAATTAAATCTTTTTGAAGATGACGCAGAATGGAAAAGATGCCTCGAGTAAGCTGCAACTTTTAAGGTGCCAAATCAACCGAGTTAGGTTTTGTTTATGTATTTGATTTCTGTGATTCAGAAAATCCAAAAACATTTAGGACGAATTTAAAAATGATTCGTAATCATGACCTTCCGCCCAGAGAAGATATATTCGTCATGACCTAGTTACTTCCGCCCAGAGAAGATATATTCGTCATGACCTAGTTACTTCCACCCAGAGAAGATATATTCGTCATGACCTAGTTACTTCCGCCCAGAGAAGATATATTCGTCATGACCTAGTTACTTCCGCCCAGAGAAGATATATTCGTCATGACCTAGTTACTTCCGACCAGAGAAGATATATTCGATGAAGAAGAAATTAAAGAAGTTGTGGCCAAAGAAATTATTTTGGGAGAAAATATTACAATGATACAATGTCTCTCCATTTACATCACATATAAGTTCGTTCACCATAACCCCTTACTCTTCATTCAGGTATAGACGGACCAGAAGGAAAATATTCATGTACAAGTGCTTAATGTATAAACTAAAAGGGCAACAAAAATAATTTTACCAGTTGCCTGGACCGGAATGGCTGCCAATTTACCACCAGGAATTAGAACAATTCACCCCACGTTTAAATTTCCAGTGCCTCTTTTATAAAATCCTGTTTCAAGTATTACAACAAACAGTAAGCATTGATGAAAAATAATACTCTAATTTTATGGGATGAAACGTTGATGACAGAAAGAATTGCCTTATATGTCTGAAATAGACGACATAGGGACGTTTGACTTGTTTTGAATTTCCCGCAAAGCTACTGGAGGGTTATCTGCGCTAGCCGTCCCTAGTTTAGAAGTGATAGACACCGCCAACTCTTGGACTACTCTTTGACCAACGAATAATGAGATTAACCGACACCTTAAAGGCGATCATGTTCGGTGACGAGGAGCCTAACGCTCTCACCACCAGGCTGCTTAGAAACATCACCAGAAGAAATAAGCTGTTTGGAAACAAAATTATTGTATTTGGGGGGAGATTTCAGGCACAGGCAAGTGCTTCCAGTTGTTAGACACGTATCTTGCTCTACAACAGTCGAAATATGAATACAATACTGACAATATAAACGAAATATAAGAACTGGAGTTGGACACCAAGAGTTCACTGAATGGTTACTAAATCTGGGAAAGGGGCAAATGAAACAAATTCCTCAATTATCAGAAGAATGTTTCAAAATATCAAAAGAGTGTATAACTGAAGATAATTTAATTGAAGAAATATATATGACAAAAATTTAATCTCAGAATATGTTAAAAATATAAAAGATGGAAGTGTTGTCTACAAATGAATTTTGTAGAGAAAGTTCTGCAAGTAGAATTAGCGTATTGTGCGTGGATAATACTGCTACATTCAAGATTCCAAATAAAAACCATATAAAACATAACAGCCACTAATGATAATAGAAAAACACTGCTTACCAGTGCGCCCTCTGGTAATGGTACTCCCGTGGTCTCTCTTTGGACCCGTAATCGTACTAGTGCTCCCTCTATCGAGCGTCCAGTCAAAGTCATCTTCTTTGTCAACGTTTTTAAAACTACATAAATCTTTCTCGAAAGAACAGTCCCCTACAAAATAATTCAAAAAATAATTTATTAATAAAATTTTAAATTTTTCTTAGACTTCCTTTCCATAAAATAGCTAACATTTTTTTTTTTTTGTAAAATCCTCATCTGGCTATGAAAACTTCAATTCTATTAAAGTTATATTTTACTTAGAGAACCTACAAATTACCAAATAATGAGCAACGGTATAACACTTTAACAAGATTTAAAAATGTACAGAAATCCTGTAAGTCAGATATTTCCAACATCTATCTAGTAATGATAAGTCGCCCCCCAGTGGCACAGCGGCATGTCTGCGGACTTACAACGCTAAAAACCGGGTTTCGATACCCGTGGTGGGCAGAGCACAGATAGCCCTTTGTGTAGCTTTGTGCTTAACTACAAACAAACAAACAATGATAAGACACGGTATGATATACTCGTTAAAGATGTAAACATACACAGATAAGTAAGTAATAAATTTTTAACATCTGCCCGGTTATGATGAGTCACGGTGTAATGTACTTGATCAAGGTATAAAAAATCCACAGACAATTAACAAGTTTTTAACATCCGCCCGATTATGATGAGTCACGGTGTAATAAGCCCTCCCCCCCCCAGTGGCACAACGGTATGTCTGCGGACTTACAACGCTATAATCCGGGTTTCGATACCCGTGGTGGACAGAGCACAGATAGCCCATTGTGTAGCTTTGTGCTTAATTCCAAACACACAGTCACGGTGTAATATAGGCGAAGAAAATAAGATATTTAATTTGATCCTAAGTGTGTAATGTTGGGAAATCTTCCAACAACTTTCAGTTAACGTGGGCCTTGTTATTGAACTGCATCTAAGAAGATTTTGGACGACGTTTCGAGCTGCCAGCGTTTCGACCTGATGAAGATCTACACTGGCAGCGCAAAACGTTATCCAAACACTTCTTAGACAGACGCAGTTCAATAACGACGCCTTTCAAGTATACTTTCCTCTGTCTAATTCTCCTTACGAGCAAGAAGGAGACTACTGAACTATACACTTATATTTATTGTAAATAGATGTGAAACAAAAAATCTTAGCGCCTACAAAAAAGTAAAATCCTAAATATGTGAGATCACTATTTTTTTTTATGAACTTAGAACTTTCAAGTCTGTTTCATTGATTACCAAATACGTTATAATATTTTACTTCTGCTGTTATGATGACACGTGGAAGTTGCACTGTGTTCTTGTTTGCACTGTCCTGGCTGAAACCAGAGTGCTATGATGTTATAATGCATATCTTACTGTACATGGAACACTAAATAAAACACACGAGAGATTGGGAATATTTATCCATTTATCCAATGAAACACACGAGAGATTGAGAATATTTACCCACTTATCCAATGAAACACACGAGCTATCTTGTGTTTCATTGGATAAGTGGATAATTATTCCCAATCTCTCGTGTGTTTCATTGGATAAGTGGGTAAATATTTTCAATCTCTCGTGTGTTTCATTGGATAAGTGGGTAAATATTTTCAATCTCTCGTGTGTTTCATTGGATAAGTGGATAATTATTCCCAATCTCTCGTGTGTTTCATTGGATAACTGGGTAAATATTTTCAATCTCTCGTGTGTTTCATTGGATAAGTGGGTAAATATTCTCAATCTCTCGTGTGTTTCATTGGATAAGTGGATAAATATTTTCAATCTCTCGTGTGTTTCATTGGATAAGTGGGTAAATATTTTCAATCTATCGTGTGTTTCATTGGATAAGTGGATAAATATTTTCAATCTATTGAGAATATTTACCCACTTATCCAATGAAACACACGATAGATTGAAAATATTTACCCACTTATCCAATGAAACACACGATAGATTGAAAATATTTACCCACTTATCCAATGAAACACACGATAGATTGAAAATATTTACCCACTTATCCAATGAAACACACGATAGATTGAGAATATTTATCCATTTATCCAAATTATTTTTATTTTGTAAATTAGTAAGCAAAGTTTGTTCACTTGTTGTTAAACGTCAAGCTACATAATAGGCTATTTGTCCTGTGCCCACCACGGATATCAAAATCCAATTTTTATCGTAAAAAAAACAGACATCGCTAAGCCATTGGGGGCAGTAAAAAAGCTCTAAACATTAACTACCTTGACATGGTCCGTTGGTCAGTGTTATACTGTCCACAGCTGCGTATCCTCTCCTGTCCAGTTCTTGGTCTACAGGTAAAGCTTCGAATATGATCTAGAACAAAGCAAAGAATAGTACATCAGCCACTGAAATCTCCACCTGACTTGTTACCCAGAACGTGAAGTGTTAGTTTCTTCTAGTTGAACTAGATAACCTTGCCGATTGCAACAGCTTCATTGAAGTCATTTTATAAACTTCTTTCCTGGGTATAAAACATACATAATTTTTTATGTAACATTTAGTTAGCTAATTTAACTCTCTCTATGCGAGGAACAATGATTTCGACTGTCTCGGTGAATATTACATTCTTTATAAACAATAACACATAGTATTAATTAACGTTACATGTAATTGTCAACACCAATTGGTCTAAATTCCAACATGCAAATGACTGTTGGTAATTCATAGATAATTTTCACCACAAATGTACATTAACTTTGTGAATAAAAGTATAGTGTTACTATAATCCAAAACAGTTATACTAGAATTCTTCATGTTTGAACCCTCTCTGCACGAGCACCTTTTACTGCGCCATATTAGTTAGACACGGTTCAAAGGGCAATAAAACAATAACATTTAAGTATATATAGATGTATACTCTTATGAGTTTAAAGCTACTTAGAATAAACAAACGTAGTTTCATGTTACAATTTGAAGTCATTCTAGAAAAATAGGGCAATCTAGATTTATTTCGATTTTTTTTTCAGTGGTTACGAAGTCGGTCAAATTGACCAATCTTAAATGGTAGAGACAATAACAGATAAAATATAATGTTTACTGTAAAAGAACGTGTGAAATATATTTAGAAGGTTTTTAGAGATTATAAAATGAAATTTAAGATTTTTTGTACGAAGAATATTATTTTTAATCATAACATGAAAATCACTTTGCACTCGGACTAGTAACAAAACAGACTCGATATATTCACAAACAAATCTTCAGTAAAAATAATTCATTAAAAAAAATCTGAATTTTTGTGTACCAATGATTTGTAATATTTTCCAAAAGTCTGCCAAAGTTTGCGAAGATACGCATACTGCGTTAAAAGTTATGTTATAAATACTTAACGAGTATTATTAGCTTTATTAGCTTTTATTTTTGGGCATTTTTGATTTTAAACGTTGTGACATTACATTTGGAATATAGTTCCTAGTATTTACTGTTCAAAGTAATCACAATCTCATAAAGGTCGATTTCAAACTAAAGATACTAAAGAAAACTGGATTAAATCACTTTTAAATCTAAAAAAAAAGTAAATAACACGGTAAACAATAAGATTTACCCGATAGAAGTGATCAGAGGTAAAGGTTGCTTTTCCATCTTCCCACCTTCCTTGCGTAGTATCCGATTTTTCCCACAATGCATAAGTGTTTTGGTTAAAATCATCGTACAACATCACTCTTAGACCAAGTACGTTAAGTCCCTTCATGCTGTACTGAAACGTCAAACACTTCCTTCTGCGTCACTGGGCGCGAGTAACGCAGATGGTAACCATGCCTTATTTGATAAGTTTCTTGTTTCGTCCCCGATCACTGATAGATCGACGAAAGCATATCCACCTAAGTAATAGAAGCTAGTTTCACTACGCTACGCATAAACTACTTAATAGTTGAAACCGAAAACTCTGTAAAGTTGCTATCTAACTCATCTGTAACTACTGTAGTCGTTAATGAGTACTAATAAGTTACGGATAAGAAAAACTTAAGCTGTTCAAAATATATGGCCAACATATATTCATTTATAGACAATTAGTTAAAATATTTTATAGCATAAGCCTACATTCAGCTGTTCTTAAGCTGTTCAAAATATATGGCCAACATATATTCATTTATAGACAATTAGTTAAAATATTTTATAGCATAAACCTACATTCAGCTGTTCTTAAGCTGTTCAAAATATATGGCCAACATATATTCATTTATAGACAATTAGTTAAAATATTTTATAGCATAAACCTACATTCAGCTGTTCTTAAGCTGTTCAAAATATATGGCTAACATATATTCATTTATAGACAATTGGTTAAAATATTTTATAGCATAAACCTACATTCAGCTGTTCTTAAGCTGTTAAAAATATATGGCTAACATATATTCATTTATAGACAATTAGTTAAAATATTTTATAGCATAAACCTACATTCAGCAAAAGTAAGAAATAAGGACAATGTTTATAACATTTCCATTAAAAACTAAATGTCCTAATATTGGCTAATAAATTTCAATATTTCGAATAAATTGTACTCGTGTATTAAGCTAAAATTTTATAGTTTAGGACAACACATAACTGTAAGTTAAGGAAATGGAAGGGGCAAATAACGGAAGTGATATGAATTTTCTTTATTTAAACAATGTGTAAGATAACTGTTTCTGTGCTTACATAACTGTAAGTTAAGGAAATGGAAGGGGCAAATAACGGAAGTGATATGAATTTTCTTTATTTAAACAATGTGTAAGATAACTGTTTCTGTGCTTACATAACTGCAAATTAATTAAAATATCATTTGCAGTCTCTGGCTAAATTAAAGATATAACATATATGAGTGGAAATATTTCACTTCTTTTTCTTGTTTTAGAGTTGAATTATTTATATATTTCAAAAATAATGACCGATAAAAGTTCAATTTATCATTATTAAAATATCTGAACGTTTGAAGATCTAGATGGAAGAGATACGTGAAAAACTTGAATTTAAAACTTAAAATGACATACTTTTCTGTGTAGCTTGTTTTTAACACAGATAACTTTTAATCTAGACTTTACCTTCAAAATTGTTGGTTCCGTCAACGGCTGGTCCTCCAATCCAGAGAGCGTTGTCACCTGAGTTCAAACCCCACGAGTACACTCCAAACATTTCCTCTGCTTTATTCAGTTGAAAGACACAGGGGTCAAGGGTACTGGCATTGATGAAACTGCAACCATCTTGCGGAAATGTAACTTCGATGTCTTCCGTGATTTCAACAGAAAATTTAAAGTAGAGAAGTGAGGAAGTGTTACTTAGTTCAGCTGTGGTAGTTTCTGATATTATTGTAGAAGTAGCACTAGAGGGCGCACTAGTACTAGGCTCTGTGGTTTCAAACCCTAATTGGTATATATAAAAACAAGCAAAAAAAAATAGCCAACCATACAGGGATAATATTATTTATGCCGTTTCACGACTAAAAATATAAATGTTTATTTATTTACATTTTAGAAAAGTATTAAAACTCGCGTTGATTTTTGTAAGGTGTGACATACTAGCTTGCTGCTCTTCATTTTCAATATGTAGCAATGTGCACACAACAGTTACTCTGATACTTACAATGTAGCAAGATGTACGCAGCAGTTACTCTGATACTTACACTGTAGCAAGGTGTACACAGCAGTTACTCTGATACTTACAATGTAGCAATGTGCACACAACAGTTACTCTGATACTTACAATGTAGCAATGTGCACACAGCAGTTACTCTGATACTTACAATATAGCAATGTGCACACAACAGTTAATCTGAAACTTACAATGTAACAATGTGCACACAACAGTTACTCTGATACTTACAATGTTGCAAGGTGTACACAGCAGTTACTCTGATAC